ATACATATTGGGCCCAACTATTGGAGCCAATTATGCCAGAGACAACATTGTTTGTAATTTCACGTAATTTCTGGCTTGGCGAAGAGGTACGCGCCCTACCGTTAAAGTCTTAATATAAACCGCGTATCAATTAAAAAATTTAGATCAAAAGCTCAAGTTCGTGGTGCGGTTTCTATTACGTACATATTGCAATCACTAAATGGGCGTGGCGTGGTCAGTTTTTGCCTACAACACATGCACAAAACAAACAATACACCATACATTCAATCTCTTGAATAGGCGTCAGGGAAGAGTAAAAGGCCTTACTTTGGTTCTAAAATAGGCGTTGAAAAATTAGTCAATAAAAAAAAACTGTCCACATGATAAAAAAAATTACTATAATATAATATAACATTTAATATAATATGCATTTATTTTTTTAATTTTCTTGGTAACAAAAAGTATATTCTAACAAAACTTTCAAATAAAAACAAACACAAATGAACTGCTTAGTAGCAAATGATCACGGTATGGTACTAATTGGTAGCGCAATCCGGCTATGCTTCGGTTCACAAGTGAATAACTTACTTGTTTTGAAATTGGTGATTATTATTCAGTAGTGATTATAATAATGCACGGAAAAAAAATCTGTTGAATTGTTATGAAATTCATGTAAAATTCAACTTAGTTTCACCGTAAGCGAATGATTTCAGTCACATGTAAACGCTCGATATGATATCCGCCATGTTTTGAATGCACACAATGTTTATTGACCTTTTATTGACCGGATAACTCAAGTCGCTAATTAACCAATCAAAATGCTTGATGGTGCCCACGTGTCTGAATTACCATACAGTAGCTCAATTTAATATGTTAATGACAGTTCAGCGACCTCATGGTGAACGCAATACGGAAGAGATTTACCGATAATGTAGTGCAATCTTTTGGCTTTGATTTCCATGAAAAAACGGCATGGTTTTTTTTTAAATCAAAGAAATTATTTGTTTTCGAACGATGAACTGAGCATTGAAGA